TTAAGTGGGTCTACAAGACAAAGCTTAACTCAGATGGCTCAATCCAGAAGCTTAAAGCAAGGCTAGTTGCCAAAGGATACTCACAACGATACGGTATCGACTACAATGAGACATTTGCTCCAGTTGCTCGCCTTGACACAATCAGGGCATTGATAGCACTTGCTACACAGAAGAAATGGAAAACTTTTCWACTTGATGTGAAATCTGCATTCCTCAATGGCTATCTTAAGGATGAAATCTATGTAGAGCAACCTCAAGGGTTCGTGGTGCAAGGACAAGAAGACAAAGTTCTCAGATTAAAGAATGCACTATATGGCTTAAAACAAGCTCCACGAGCTTGGTATAGCAGAATCGACAATTATTTCTTGGAGCAAGGATTCAGGATGAGCTATAGTGAGCCAACACTCTACATCAAAAYTCAAGGTACAAATGACACTCTCATTGTTTCTCTATATGTTGATGATCTTATTTATACTGGAAATAATGAGAAGATGGTCAAGAAGTTCAAGGAAGACATGATGAAGACTTTTGAGATGACTGATTTAGGCCTAATGCACTATTTTCTTAGAATTGAAATAACTCAAGAAGAAGGGATATTCATCTCACAAAAGAAGTATACAGAAACTCTTTTGAAAAAAATTCAAAATGGAGGGGTGCAAAACAGTCTCCACTCCATTAGACAACACTAAAGCATACAAAAAGGAATATGGCTCACCAAAGGCAAATGAATCACAATTTTGAAATATGATTGGAAGTCTTCTCTATTTAATTGCTACAAGACCAGACATCATGTATGCAGTTAGTCTACTATCAAGATTCATGCAGAATCCAAGTCAAGTCCACCATGGAGCAACTAAAAGAATACTAAGGTATTTGCAAAGTACAAAGAGCTATGGAATTTGGTACAGAGTCACACATGACTCTAAGCTCATTGGCTACACYGACARTGRCTGGGCAGGTTCGGTTGATGACATGAAAAGCACATCTGGTTATGCTTTCACACTTGGATCAGGGATATTTTCTTGGGCTTCAAAGAAGCAAGCAACTGTTGCCCAATCATCAGCTGAAGCAAAATATATTGCAGCAGCAATAACAACGAGCCAAGTTATATGGCTCAAAAGAATATTTGATGACATGGGAGAACCACAAGTTGGTGCTACTGAAATCTACTGCGATAGCAAATCTGCTATTGCAATGGCAAAGAATCCCATATTTCACAGCAGAACCAAACATATTGGCATCAAGTATCACTTTATCAGAGAAGTAGAAGGAAACAAAGAAATAGAGCTCAAACATTGCAAAACTGAAGAACAGTTAGCTGACATATTCACAAAGGCTCTACCAAAAGGCAAGTTCGAATTGTTACGAGACATGATTGGAGTTGCTAATGTGCACCAAGGAGGAGTATTAAATGTTGTTTCACATTTCCAGAAGTCGGTGATTCAATCACCTCGAATAACAGTAAAGCTAAGTCTATTTTCAATGTTTGTTCCATTTCGATACAAGTCGTTGTATCTTCCAAAGTAATTCAGTTCCAAAGTCTGTCGATACCTCTCCCTAGGTGAGTTAATGAGTCTTCGTTCATGTACGTTGGTTCACCTTCAACCGACTCCATCCAATATAAAAACTCATCCTTTGTACTGATTTGAACCATCAGAGAGAAATACCAGAATACTACAAAACCTTTCTCTCGTTCAACCAAGTTCTATTCTGTTTTTCTAAGTTCTATTCTGTTTTTCTATCTTATTTTTTTATAGTATTTGCTGTTACTATCATTAGCAACCATCAAAGTGGCTATGGCATTTGATTTTGGGCTTCTCAAAATCTATCAACCAGAAGTTTGTCGAGGACAGATTACGCAGCAGAAGCATATAGTTGGACACTTTGGACTTACTAATTAAGATCATCTCCCATTGTTATCTATCATCCCTGCAGTCCCATTGTTATCATTCAGAAAGCTATACAAAATCAATCATCTGTATCAATAGTACTGGAGACCCATTGAGATCCTAGTCATTTATGCAACATAAGACAGTACCACGGCATCCATGAGTGCATTACGATCTCACAAGTTCCTCCCACCGGATTTACATCTACACAGACCCGCCAAAAAACTCAAACTAAATTCACCTCCTTGAATATGAAATATTAAAATTTAAACACTACACCGGTTTACATGCAATCCTTTGAATTCCATCTCATTTGGAAACCACCCAACAAGGAAAACATTTGGGCTTAGTTTGATTCCAATGAAAAATGCCTGAAGCTGAATGTAATTTCTAATTTACTTTTGCTTGAAATTTGATGTAGTTCTTTGTTTTTTTTTTTATTTGGTGAGAAGTAAAATGGGAAATCCAAAAGATGTGATTCGCCCCATATACTAAGAGAACAGAGGTATGGAGTGAGTATGAAGCAAGATGATGTAGCTCAACTTTATATGAGGGAGATTTTTTGTTTTTTGTTTTTTGCTTTTTTGGTTTTAATATGAGGGAGAATTGAGGCTGGGGTAAAGTGGTTTAAGTTTCGCATCAGTGATTTGATGCAAAATTTGTACTACCGATGAAGTGGCGTTTTTGTAACACTTTGCACTTGCAGATGTCAACAATCAACATTTAAAAAACTTGCCTTTCATATGTACGATCTGTTTGTGTTTATAGGTCTAAACAAAAATTCTAATCAAATAAAACAAACCTAAAATGGTAAGACATGTCTCAGTTGTTTAATGTGGTCAAATACATTTCAAAGCCTGGCTAAAGTCACAAATGCCCCATAGCTTTTCAAAATGACCTGTGTTGCCTCTTCTTTTAAACCCAATTTGAGCCCTATCAAGTTCTCCCCACTGGAACGATAGAAGTGAACGTTGTCATCTTCTACCATCATCGTCTCTACATCGCATCTTTTCCAATGAGCACCACGGGCACTAACGGTGGTGGTGGTCAAGGGATGACTTTGCAATATTTCGTCAACAAAGGGGGTCAAGGGAGAGTCGTAATGAGGGAGAGAAGGATAAGAAGGAAAATAAGGGAGAAGAGAGAGAGAGAGAGTAAATCGATGGCAGTTCAAGGCTGTCCGTTTGGTCGGAGGACATGGCTATTCAGTAGCAAAGAAGACCCCCAAAAACCTATTTTTCGGGGAAAAATAGTAAAATAGTCAAATATCAGATGTTAGAACACCCAAGACAAATGTTTTTACATTTTCAAAGGCTCTAGAAAGCAGAAAAGCATATCAACAAGGATTTTTGAACTAAAATAGCCGACTTTTTAAACATCAAAATAATCAAGCCACCTAAATACAATGAAACAAAAACTTTTATATTAGATATAAGTGCGAATCATAATTACAAAGAAATAGATGCAACACTAAACCGAATGCAAAATTTGTATTTGATTGAACTTGCACAATGAACAAAACCCCTAAAGTCCCCTCCCCTATCACAAAAAATCGGGATTCCATGGATCAACTTTCCACTAAAAAGTTGCATAGGAGACTAAATGATTGGAATGAATGGGATACCTTTGGTTGTTGGGGCCAACAGCATTCAGTTGTTGGGCTGGACACGTTCACCCATGTCTTTGTTTTGGTCAAAAAATAATATAGGTGACGATTACTAATGTACCCACTCTGAAGGTAACGTGGCATTCCCAAAACTGCTCTCAACAACATAGCCTGTTTTGGCACCCAACAGATGATGAATGCCCCTTAAACTAATAAGCTACAGTGTTGATGTTGTAGTCTCCAAAGTCCAAATAATAAACGGATACGGTTTATAGATCAATAAAATAATTTTACTGCGTTCCGATCCATGGACTACTGAGCAAAGCTAGGAAAGCATAAAAACTAGTCTGCTACAAAAATACATGGAAGCAAAGGAAATCCTATTAAAGTAGCTTACTAGAACAAAAAAAAAAAAAAAAATTAAGAGGTAAGCCTCAAGATAGAATATTTTCAGCTTTGAGGGCGAGCAGCTTCCTGGACAGGAGGCGCAGAACTGTAACTCGGAGCATTATTTCCATCGGCATTTCTTTCAACTCCATAGGACAATTGCTGTGAATATCCATGGGTTGTTGGCTGCGGCTGTGGCTGTGCATAGACGGTAGGATTTGCACCCTGAGGATAACTGGATTGTATAGAGGTTCCATGTGGAGGATAAACACCTTGTCCGTAAGCTGGTTGAGAAGTTGGTGGTGGGGCCTGAGTAGGTGGTTGGATCTGAGCTGGGGGTGGTAACTGAGTCATTTGTGTTCCATATGCTGCTGAATAAGTGGTGAATCCTGCCTGATTGTACCCTGGTTGAGGTGGCAGTGGCCCAGCATTACTTTGAGAAGATCCATATCCAATTGGAGGTGCATGCGGTGGCTGACTATAAGTGACTGGATATGCTGGCATAGGTTGGGAAGTTGGAGTTCCATAAGGCTGGGATGGAGCTGTTCCATCCAGTTGAGATGGTGCAGTAGGTGGACCATATCCCTGAGTTGGTGTATCCTGTCCATAATTTTGTGGCTGCTGAGTGTAACCTTGCTCATAACTATTGGTAGTGGCTGGTGGGGTCTGACCATATCCATAGTTGACATTGCTTGGAGCTGAATCTGTCTGAGTCTGTTGTGAATAATAATTATACCCAATGTTTTGCTGAGGTGGTGGAGACACACCTGATGGGTTTGTTTGATCCCACGTCGCTGGTTGAGGATAACTGCCATAGTATGGTGGAGGTGTGGGATAAGATCCCTGTTGCGGATATCCATATCCAGGCTGTTGGGTTGGAGGTGGAGCTTGTGGACCCCAACTACCAGGAGGACGGTAAGTCTGCTGTGAATAGCTACCGGACATTGATGGGTTCTTTACACGATTCTGCACAAAATAAACTGGTCAGCAACAGCAACAAAAGAAAAGATCTCAACAAAGAAGAAACAATATAAAACTCCCAGGGGAAAATGGGAAGTATGAAGTAAAGCATTTCAGGAGAAGAATAGGATGTTTGCTGATTAGGATTTGAAAATCACATTTTGTTTCTCATTCTTCATGGAAAACTACAAGAAAATTAAGGAATTTCATAAAGGTTACAAATATAGGTCTGTATCCAGTCTACGCCTCATTCTTCACGGAGAACTTAATTTTTTCTATTGGTACCTAGAGGACATTATTCCTATACTTAGAACCCATGTTCTTTTTTCTCTCTGATATAACCATGGCACCTTGCATAGAAACCATACCATCTGACAAATGGAAGTAAAGCAATCAATCATGGAAAAACCCAAGGCATATATTGTAATAAAAGGTAATCAGTATGACAAATCCATAAGTTGTTAAGGTGCAAGCACAAACTGTCAAACCACTGAAGCAAGTAAATATTTACTACTCACATCACTGATTATTTCATTGATCAAAACTTTAGCCGACTCAATTTGTTCTGTTGTCCCATTTATATACACTGATCTCTCAGTTGATGTATCACCAGGTGGAAGATGCAGAGGTACAACCTGAAAGAAAGAGGGCATCAGACACTAAATCCAAATGACAATCATGAAGCATCATACATACATTGTTACTACACTTCGCACCTATATTGGATCAGAAATATTCAAAATATGCAAAAAGATGATGCATGATTTCTAGGGTCTGAGATAATCAACATACATTTTGCCCCAATTTCCTCATTCCCAGGCTCCCAGCGGGTCAGAGAGACCCAGGAGAAAAGCTGGCAAAAACCAAAAGTGGAGCCCACAAACTCTAGTGAATCCATCCACCCTCTAGGACATTGAAAACTATATAGGACAACACAACCAGGCATGAAAGCCTCTCGTTGTAGTGAAAGAACTGACTTATCTTAAATTTTGGGTTCCAATGGCATAACCATAATTTTCAGCAAATTACAGTGAGTGTTGATTTTCTATAGTTTTACATGTTTGTTATTTCTCAGGTGTCAATGGATTTCTGTATTTTAAAGGTACTTTATAGGCTCCGTTCAGCTGCTGTGTGAATTTCATTAGGTGTCATGGTCCTCATAGACCAAGTGCAAATCCTGGTTTACTTTTCAGATTTGACCTTGTTTTGTTTGTTTGTAAGAAGTAAATAGCAATTAAAATTATGTGGTCCCCAATTTATATGAAAGAGAAATGCAACGGGAGGAAGGTTACTTACTTGGGGGGAGTAAGGTAGGAAGAAAATTGATGTGGTCCCCACTTATAAGAGAGAAAGGTAGGAATAAGTTGTGCATATTTACATTAGGAGCATTAGTACGGAGCCCATTTGTTAAAAGAGGAATTGATAGAATTTTACTTTCATCCCTTATAAAAGAGTCCAAGGGCTGGCCAACCCTCTTTCTTTTCTTTTTTTTTTCTTGATAGATCTGGCCAACCCTGTTTCGTTTGCCTAGGTGTGAAAACTTGGGTGGTTGGGTTGGGTTGAGGGCCAACCCAGCCCCACCTTAGCTTAGGTGTGCAAACTTGGGTGGGTTGGGCCAGGTTCAGGCTTAGGTTGGGCTGACCCTGAGAAGAATTGGTCAGGTTTGAAAGAATTTACAAATATATTTTTGTACAACCATCTCTTACTGGGATTTATAGCCCAACAAAGGAGTACAATGGATTGAAATATGTTTTTTTTTTGAGAAAGATGAAGTATACAAGTATATATTTTTCAGCGTAATAAAAACAAAAAGAACCCATGTACGACAAGGGATTGTACATTGAAATTTGTATAAATTTCATTAACAAATACACATATACATATTTTATACATGGGCAGATACATGTACACACTCAAACATATATTTATGTACATATGCGTGTGTATGTGTATATATTGATGCGGCAGGATCCGGGCACTCCTAGCTGGTTGTTGACTGGCTCCTAGCTGGCAACGGACAGCACCTGAGAGGAAGAAGATGAAGGATTCCCAAGGGATTTGTCCGGCGGGAATACTCCGAAGCTTAAGTTAGAACGCTGGGGGAGAAAGCAAAGAGTATAAAAGGCTAAGAGTGTAGGTCGCGCTAGATCACTGTGTCTCAAGATTAGCTCGTGAGCAAGTAAGATAATTCAAGTTCAGATGAAAATCAGAGAGAGTCCTCTCCCCTTCAATTAAAGGGCTTTTATAGGGGCATTCTCGTCAAATTGGGTGTAACCGCCACTGGGCTCCTGTCGCAGCCGTTACCTGCCAGGGCTGCGCAGGTGATCGTTACAACGTACTACCCGCTTGGATGAGTGACACGTCCCAAAGGGACAGGCACACCACCATCTGTCGAGAGACGTGGGTGCAGACTGTCAAATGGGCAGGGACTGCGCCATTAGTCGAGAGATGTGGTGCAATCTGACAGGTACGGTCTTGTCAGATAGAAGCTTCCTGAGAGTGTCGCATTGCCTAGTCACGAGCTACTTTGTAGCGAGCTACCCTGTCGCGTAGCGAGCTATCTTTGTCGCGAGCTACTTTGTAGTGAGCTCTTAGGGATACTTCGAGGTGGCCCTCATTGAGGTTGTCTTTGGGGCAGTTCTTCTGCCTAAGTGTTGGAGCGAGCTGGTTACCCTAGCTCGCGAGCTGAAATAGTCTTGGAGTATTCCCTTCTCAGTAGCTCGAGGGACCTGGAGCTCGTGTTGTAGCGAGCTCCCCCTACAGTGAGCTATGACGTAGCGAGCTATTCTACAGGCTCGTTACTTAGTTGCAGTCAGGTTGTGGTGCTGAGCTATTGCTCGTGCTGAGTCAGGTCCACGTGTCATTGTCTCAATGGGTCGGGTCAAATCATCCTCCATCATATATCACTAGAAATTTGTATAAATTTCATTAACAAATATACATATGCATATTTTATACATGCACAAATACACATACATATATGTATGTACATATGTATGTATGTATTTTTATATATCATTAGAAACAGATATTTTTTACTGTGTTTGGGTTGGGTTGGGCTAAAGCCACCGGAGGCCTCAACATGAACCCAACCCAAAGTTTATGTCAGGCCCAAGTTTTTCTGTAACAGGCCTGGCCTGAAGCCAAAAAAAATAATAATAACTCAGGCCTAACCCATGCAAAAGCTCAGGTGGTTTAAGAATTAGTGTTCGTAAAGTTTCTCTTTTGTTTTCTTATTTTCATTCTCTTCCGGATGATCCAACATCTTCCTTATATTTTATGATATATGATCTGATCTGTTATCTTCTTACTGTTTATCACATTTTTAAAGGTTCTTGATTTAGTCATTAATCTTGGCGATTCTTGAATTGGTTTTCAATCTTTCTTTGCTTATTGGAACTACTTGCCCGAAATTTCTTGTAAATTGTTCCAAGCTAAAATTTACATTGCTGTACTCCTTGAGTTATTCAATCCCTTGACCTGCACAATCTATCTAGAAAGGAGAAAGAGATTCTTTCAAGCCTGGGAGAAGCCATCTATCCCTAAAATCATAACTATCATGTCAGACTAACCTAAGCAAAAGAAAAAAAGAAAGAAAGAGGAAAGAAAGAATAGAATTATAAAGAGGTTTTTTTCTATTCTCTCTCTAATTAAATAAAACAGAAACTCCATCCTTATTTTTTCTATTTTACTTTCCATTTTGAATATTTATCATATAAAGTTAATAACCTTCTTTAGCTGCTAATTGATATGAAATTTCTATTTTACTGATAGATTCTGTTGCTGATAAAAAAGGGCTAGTAGCACTACATTGTCGTTTTATTTTATTTTTTTTATCAGCAACACAAAATTGATTCATTAGACTAAAAAATAGAGATACAACAAGGAATTGTGGCCACAAAACAAAGCCCAAATAGAAACTATTCACTATTTACAGAACTGCCCAGAACATAGATCATCTTTGAGTTCCTTGCTTTGCTAGACCATCGGCCAAACTGTTTGCAGATCTCCTTATCCACCTTATTTGGATTATCATGTCTTTAGAAATCTGCTTGAATCTCCTGAATTCATTCCTTAACTTACATATGATTCCTTCCCACTTTTCAGCCAACCAACAACTACTTCTGAATCACCTGCAATAATTAGCTTAGTAATCCCCATTTCTTTAGCTTCCTCTACTCCATAGACTGCTGCCAATAATTCTGATCTCACAACATCTCCATGCTGAACAGGACCTGAGTACAAAGCTAGAATGTTTCCATTTTCTTCCCTAATTTCTTCCACCCAACACATGGAGGAGACCAGGCCTCATGTACTATATCTGTCCTCTAGACAAAGAACCTGCAATTATTCCCCACGATCTGAAGAAGTCTTCGACCTTAAAGTCAGCAAAGAGCTTTAATGTGCTCACCCAATGCGCTACTCTTAGGGTAATCACCTCAACTCCTTAATTCTTTCCTTGTCTTCAACAATTCTTAGGTTCCTTTCCTCCAAAATTTTCCAGACCACTGCTGCTCCAAGGCATCTCCACATAATCCTACCTCTTCTTTTAGGGCAGCTGAAAAGGTGAGAGCTAAATACACCTTCCAGGCAATTAGGGGGAAGCCAACTGCATCCAAAAAGATATGAAAACCATTCCCAAATAGAAATAGAAAAAGGACAGGAGATCAAAAGATGAAAGGCAGTCTCACCATACAACTTACATAAAGAGCACCAACTTCGGGACAAGCACCAATTTGGTCTTTTTCTCTACAACAAATCACAGGTGTTAATGGGGCCATGAAAAACTTTCCAACAATAAGCACCAACTTTTGGAGGGATGGGCCGAGACCATATCTCCTTAACAGGGAAATAAGGAGAGGGGGCGGTGGAGATAAGAGAATTTAAAAAGGACTTATAGGAAAAGAACCCGACTGATTAAGGGCCCACACTTTAGAATCTGAACCACCCTCCCCCAAAAACACTAAACTCAACAGAAGAAACAAAGCTGAGACATTGGAAATTTCATATTCCCTCAGATTCCTAGTGAAGCCAAGATTCCAACTCAGGTCTGAAAGGGATGAGGGAAAGAAGAAGAAGTTGGGGTAGGATTTTAGAGCATGAGAGTGCAGTTGGAAACGTGCAGACAAGGGAGGTAGAGAAAGAGGTGAGTAATGAGGAAGAGGAGGGAGGAGGACCAAATGAAACTGATAAGGAGGACTCGGTTGCACAATTTGTTGAGCAAATGGGCTGTAAAATAAAGGATCCAAATGAGTTGAAGGTATTTTTGAGGAAAGGAAAGGTAGAGAGTAAACCAAGGAAGAAGAAGTTGAGTGAGTCAAAAAGGCTAAAACGAGATGTAGAAGAAGATAAGGAGTTCAGTGAGAGAAAGGGCAGAAGAAGAGGGACCAATTGAAAAGAGGACAGGTAAGGGTTTTTTTAGAAGGTGGTGATGAAGATCCTCAGTTGGAATGTTAGGGAGTTAAGGAGGGCTAGGAAAAGGCCTTTAATAAAAGAAGTAATAAGAAGAGAGGATCCAGACTTGGTGCTGATTCAGGAGTCTAAGCTGATGGAGTTTGATAGGAGATGGGCTAGATCGATGTGGAAAGTAAGGGGCATCAACTGGGCTCTTTGTCCTTCGTGGGGAAGGTCAAGA